GAGGGAGGGGAGATGTGCAAGTGGTCGGCATCTTAATTGAAATGCAAAGCAGTAGAGACAAGCCCCTGGGATTCTACTTCTTCTTTGGTGATCACTCGTAGCCGAGGAAGATTGTCTCCCATAAATATGGTTTTAACAGTGAGTCTGTAAGTGACTATGGAGGCCAATTCTGGATCCGCACGTCCTTCCACAGTGGGGACATAGGTTTCCAGGTGGGAGTTGATCATGGTGGCTTAGGGCCCTCGTATTTACGGGACCGCCTCTCCTGGTATGCCCCGCAGAGGACCTTAAGGTCCATGAATAACCATAGTTTAGAAGTCCTGGGCCCCAAGGAAGTCAGACTGTCCTCCACCAGGGCCAGGGCCTTTTTAGTGATGGCTCTGACCTGGTGGAATGCTCTGTCCCATAAGACTAGGGCCCTTCAGGATTTGACCTCCTTCCGTTGGGCTTTTAAGACAGAGTTATTTCCACCTGCCCTTTAATTTGAATTCAGCCTGATCTTTTATTTCCCCTCTCTTCCCTCCCCCTCCCCTTTTATGAAGATTACCTGCTCTGAGACCCCACAGCTAATTCTTCCTTGGCCTCCTCGCTGGCCCAAGTAGGACTAATTTAGCCAGCTAGCCCTGCTTATTAGATGGATTACCCCTAAATTGATTTCTGAACTTTGAATTTTGTTGTTATTCATGTTTTTAGACTGTATTTTATGCTGCTTTTACAGTTGTTTTAAATTTGTTGTTAGCTGCCCTGAGCCCGGTTCTTGAACAGGGAAGGGCGGGGTATAAATAAAAAATTATTATTATTATTATTATTATGGTGAGGGTTTGCCAAGCGTGCCTTCCTCTTAGCACGTTTCTCCCTTTCGTCCTGAGTTCGAGTGTCTTCATGACACCTTTGGTAAAGGCTGTTCTTCAGCTGGAGCGCTCGCAGGCCAGACCTCCTCCTGCTTCCGCTGATAAACAAGCAGGTGGTCAGATCCAAATGTGTTGTAGATCATGCGAACCACAGTCTGTATGATCTGCAGTTCCTTGCAGTGCAAACTTTCTGCAGAACAAAATTCCAAACAGGCTTTGTAAAGAACAGCAGGTGGTGCCAAATCTCAGTTCTTCTCACTAGCATGCAGACTTTCCTTTAGCTACCCTGCAGGATCAAGGAATCCTCTCTTAAATGAAATTTGCCTCATCAGTGACAACTCCTTAGAGGAGTTAGCGTAGTCCGAAGACTATCTGCTCACCCCTATTAAGAAATGAAACTGTACTCAGTTGCTTTGAAACACTGGACACATTTGCGCATGCAGTGGAACTCTCTCTGCAGATTACAATGCCTACACAGATTAGATAGCATGCCCCTGAGCTATGTTAGCACAGAGAGTTGTCGCACATTTTAAATTGCTTCCCCAACAAGGCTGAATGAGCCATTAGACTAATGCCAGTAGGATTTCCTCAGGCAGGTGTCCTTAGATTTGGGGTTACCTTCAGAATCATTTAAATGGGTGTTTGCTGAAAGTGACCTTAAATCACATCCATATTTTTTCTCTGTGTGCATTTTTGGCACATTCACTTCCACACCTTCCTAGTAGTTTAAGTCATTCCTTGCTATTCTGACACTTGCTGTCCACACCAATGGGTGAAGCTTGTCAGAATGTATCTGGAAGGTGGTGGGTCTTTTGCTGTTGTACCCCTCAATCGCTCCTCCCCTACCCTCCACTGACATTTTTGTTTTGTTTTATTCTGGGCATGCACATGGGTATTTCTGTTCCTGTATGCACACACCTAAAAAAACCAACAACTCAGAGCAAATGTTACCAGCCTTCCAGTTATTGTGTTTCAGGATGTGCAAAACAGAAGGTGGGGGGCAAATCCCATTTCTATTTTGTTATGTGCTGAGTTGAATAGGATCCAAAATGCAGCAGTCTGATTGGTCCTTAGAACATTAGGATTCAGAATGCAGCAGTCTGATTGGCCCTAGAACAATAGGATCCAGAATGCAGCAGTCTGACTGGTCCACAGGATTCACCCAATCCAGCTCCAGGTGGAAGTGAATCCGCAACCTGATTGGCCTACAGGTGAATCCCGGAATTAGCCAATCACGTGGGGCCCATTGTGTAAATAATGTATATAAAGCAGACATTCTGGGGGAACTTCCATTCCTCCTCACCACTATGAGCTGAATAAAGAGCACGAAATCCACTCTTGACTCCGAGTATATTTCATATTTGTTTTCCATTTTTAACATGGAGGTCTTGTACAAGAGTGATATTTCCCTAACAAAGACTTACCAAAGTGTGATAAAGAGGTCTTGTGCAACTGTGTGGCTCCAAACCCTGATGAATATGCAATTGTTGGAAACTGCAAGACGGGAAAGTGCTCTTGTGCTCAGGTCCTGCTTCTGTGCTCCCTGTAGGTATCTGCCTGGCCACTGTGATAGAAGGATACTGGACTGGATGGGCCTGATCCAGCAGGGCTTTTTGTACATATTAATTTGTTTTTTAAGGGACGCGGGTGGCGCTGTGGGTAAAACCTCAGCGCCTAGGACTTGCCGATCGCATGGTCGGCGGTTCGAATCCCCGTGGCGGGGTGCGCTCCCGTCGTTCGGTCCCAGCGCCTGCCAACCTAGCAGTTCGAAAGCACCCCCGGGTGCAAGTAGATAAATAAGGACCGCTTACCAGCGGGAAGGTAAACAGCGTTCCGTGTGCTGCGCTGGCTCGCCAGATGCAGCTTGTCATGCTGGCCACGTGACCCGGAAGTGTCTGCGGACAGCGCTGGCTCCCGGCCTCTAGAGTGAGATGAGCGCACAACCCTAGAGTCTGTCAAGACTGGCCCGTATGGGCAGGGGGTACCTAATTTGTTTTTAAGAAACCCCCAAGCCCGATGTATGACTGTGATTGCACTCTCCAAGGTAATCCCCCATATGATGACTGAGAGAATAGGTCCTCCTAAATGGAGTGAATTTCAATTCATAATGACTTCAGCATGCAATTAATTACTGGAAATGAGCACACTCCCAGCAACTGGGCCACCAGAAACAAAATGGCAAGATGGTACTCACCATAGTGAGAAAGACTGTGACAGCTGACCTGTGTGTGCCTGCTCAACCTAATCTCCATGTGCTGTTGATGGGCAGTTTCAAAGCCTCTGGTCTCCCCTTTCTTTACCTTTGGACTGGAGAATCCTTCAAGCAGAAGACTCCTTCAAATAGAGGCCTATCCTCTAAAGCAGGGTTTCCCAAACTTGGGCCTCCAGCTGTTTTTGGACTACAATTCCCATTATCCCTGACCACTGGTCCTGCTAGCTAGGGATGATGAGAGTTGTAGTCCAACAGTAGCTGGAGACCCAGGTTTGGGAAGCCCTGCTCTAAAGTCAGGCACATGGCTACCCTTGCTGTTGTTCTTCAGTGACTAGAATTGAGAAGCACACTGATTCTGTTCCTGGAGGTACTATATCCTGCACCTCACTGTATTTGCCTAATAATCCCCCTTAAAGGGGGATTATTAATCCCCCTTAAAGCCATCTAAATTGGTGTCTATATTGCAGCATCTTCATTTCAAGCTTCAGCACGTAATTTCAGCTTTTACCTCTACCTTTAGCAGAATTCCATGTCCTTTGTGAGCTTAGCATGGGGATATATTTATTTGCAAAGTAAACAAAACAAAGCAAACCCTTCTCTCCTCTAAATCAAGAGAAGGTGGGGAAAGGACTCTAAAGCTCCCAAATCTCTTCAAATCCCCTTTGCAGGACTCAATATTTCTCACAGTGAGTTATTTTGGTTAATTTTTTTCCATTGACAAAATCCGCTGGAAAACAACACCACTGCATGGAAATAAAGTATTCTCTGGACTCAGCAAGGATCAAGAGCTCCCTCTGAAAAACAAATTATGTTGAACATTTCTTGAAGGTGTCTTGTAGTTGTGCTGGTGTTAAATAAATGTCAACAAGACAAAGATAAAACTGTTTTTCCTGGAATTGTTCCTAAGGCTGGACTCGAGTCGGATGGCATAGAGCAGACTTCCTCAACCTCAGCCCTCCAGATGTTTTGAGACTACAATTCCCATCATCCCTGACCACTGGTCCTGTTAGCTAGGGATCATGGAAGTTGTAGGCCAAAAACATCTGGAGGGCCAAGGTTGAGGAAGCCTGGCATAGAGGGTTTTAAATTCCAGTGACAGCCACTTCAAAAAACGAATGATGTACTAAAATGGCCAGGAAGAAAAGACAGCCTTCCTCAAAGTGATACACGTCAGATGTTTTGAACTCCAACTCCATCAACCCCAGCCAACATGATGGTTGGATGAGTTATAATCCCACCACACCTGGAAAGCCACCAGTTCCCCACCCCTGGTTTTCCTTGCCTGACCTGTCTCCATGAGGTCTCAGAGGTCCTTTTAACCCATAATGTTGGTGGGGTTTGAACCTCTGACCCTGTGCATGCAAAACACGCCACTGAACTATGGGCATGGGAAGGCCTGGTTTATCTCTTGGAGCTTTTCTTCTCTCATCTGGTACTTCCAGACTTGCCAAATATCAAGTGTTGGTGTGCTGAGCCAAACGTCCATAGCAGCATAGAAACTGTCAGGCACAGTCTTCCGCAAAGGTCTTATTTTTCTGGCCTCATATGTCCATCACCCTCCTGAATCTCTGCTGTTGTTGGGCTCAGTGCTCCCTAAACTCTCTCTGCTGCCCCTGTTTAGCTATGGCCATAGATGAAGGATAGCCCTTGTATTTAAGGCCCCAACCATAATCTTACCTCAGTCATTTTGCTGAATAAATTAATGATAGAGACTTGCTCCATGGTGCCCTTCACTCTCCCTGCCTGCTGCCTTCCGATACCGATTCCTTTTTTTTAATTGCTGCCATGTGGCAACATAAACCTGGGGACTGTAAAGCTAGAACATAGGAAACTGCCTTCTATCGAGTCAGACTATTGGCCCATCTAGCTCAGTATTGTCTAGTCTGATTGGCAGTGGTTTACCAGGGTTTTAGACAGGAATATGCCCAAGCTCTGTCTGGACACACCTGGGATTGAACCCGCGTCTTTCTGCATGCAAGGCAGATGCTCTACCACTCAGCTACAGTTTAATTTCTAAAAAAGAAGGAGCAGTGTTCACATGTGGAGGACACGGTACTGAGATAACCCATTCTGGCTAATCTTGGCAAGACTCAGCTTTATTTATTTTGATTAATTTTGCAGCCCATATCAAGGCCTTGGTATTCATTTCGGCGCCAGAGACAGTGGGAGAAGAAAAAAACACCTTCATGTGAAATTGGTCTCTTGCGACTTCTGCTCTTCTTAACCAAAGCTCGTGTTTACTGAAGTAGGATGATGGGCAATCAGCAACCCTGTGATCTCACTCCAAGGCCGATACAAGATGTTTGCATTAATCCAAAGGAATCCAAAACACAGGACAACTCTGGAACCTAGAAACACAAACTTTTGCCCAAAGAATTCAAACAGTGCCTGTACAAGGGCAGCCAAAAGCTTTCAGTTGCTCAGAAACCAGCCTTTGCTGCAGGATTCCTGGAAGTTCATTGAATTCCCTGCGCACCACCAGAAGAATGTCATTGGTTCTCATTGGTTCATAGATGCAGCAAGCAGCGTGAATTCAGGGCAAGACTTTACCCTGGTGTTGTGTCAGACCTTGGATTTCCAGAAGCTCTTTAGCAGGACTGGTGAAGTTGGTGAAATTCAAGAACCTCAATGTGGCATGTTTATGCTTGATTCAGGACCCTTAGCTTGCCCAGTTATCCCAGCTACAGAAGCTAGGTGAGCTACATCTCTGTTTCCCAGAACTTGCCTGGGATACATCTTTACAAATGAGAGGAGAAGTAGTGGTTGGCGAGGCGGCTCTGCATCCCATCACTGCCATCACTGTGGTGAGGCTGGTGTGGTGAAAATGCACACTGGATTGTCTCTATTAGTGCATTTGCACTGCACCACCCAAGACAGCTTCTCACCCTTTCCAGTACACCACAGAGCTGGTACTCCAGGCCCCAGCATCTGCCCCGTCATGAGGACAAAATGAGGGGCTGCATCCTCATGCTTCTGTCTGAATGAAATCGACATGGAGAATGGCCTTCTCAAATGTCTCCCACACCAGCCTGCTCCATTCCAAAGGGCTGCCCTAAAGAGGAATGATGGAAATTAATCACGATGAATAAATCTGCAGAGGACTGAAAAACATAAAGAGCCAGAGAGCAGCTACAGCCAAAAGCCAAAAGCACAGCAGGTTTACAAACAGTGCAGTCCTATGCAGTGGTACCTCGGGTTACATACGCTTCAGGTTACATACGCTTCAGGTTACAGACTCTGCTAACCCAGAAATATTACTTCGGGTTAAGAACTTAGCTTCAGGATGAGAACATAAATCATGCTCCGACGGCGCAGCGGCAGCAAGAGGCCCCATTAGCTAAAGTGGCGCTTCAGGTTAAGAACAGTTTCAGGTTAAGAACAGACCTCCAGAACGAATTAAGTTCTTAACCTGAGGTACCACTGTACATATCTACACATTCAGCGTATTTCTTTATTTCATTTCTATCCAACCTTTTTCTCAGCGGAGCTCAAGGTGGCATACATGGTTCTTCCCCTCATTTAATCACCTCAGCAGCAACCCTGTGATGTAGGCTAGGCTGAGAGGTAGTGACAAGGTCACCCAGTGAGTTTCATGGCCATGTGGGGATTCAAACCCCCGTCTCCCAGGTCCTAACCTGAAACTCTAACCACTACACTACACTGGCTCTCTGGCTTGGCTGGTTCCCTGGGGCTTACTCCCAGGAAAGCACGCAAGAAATCATGTATGTTTCATAATGCTAGGTCCTCATCGGGATGAGTTTAGATAAGAATCTTGAAAGATTAGGGCTTAAAGGGAAAATAAAATACCAGAGAGCAAACAAGCAACGGAACGCAATCTGGCTATTTATAGGCCAGTGCCTAGAGAGAGGCGTGTTGTAAATCAGTTTAGGCCTCGTGGATGGCAGGAACTGTATAAAATGTCATTCCTCCCCCCCCCCCTTTTAATTTACTGTCTGCCACTGCCAGCTTGACATAGAAATCTATGTCAAAAGGAAAATCTGCCTCTGTGGTGGGATCAGAGAGATGCTATGCTATAAATATGACGGCACATTTTCCCGTTTGTCATGACAAATACAGAAGGGTTTGTCAGGATGTCGGAATGTTTGCTTGGGTCGCTTCCCGGTGACATAACCCAGCCCCTATTACAGCTTCAGTGTAATAGTTAATAACAGTCGTGCACGGATGAGGTTTTGGAGGATCTGCACTGGAAGCAGACCGAGGTCAGCAGCTTGCTCTGTGCTGGAGCAACGATCCACTCAGCAGCCACCATTAGTAGAACCTTCCCCATCTCCACCGCTGCCTAGCCATGTCAAAAGGCAAGCTCGGAAGCTTCCCTTCCTTCTCAGTTGCCACCCGACAGCCCTCACAATTCTGCCCTACAGCCTCACCAGGCGCTGCTCTTTGTGTAGTGATGGAGAGCCTGTGCCCCACCAGCTCTTGTTGGACTACAGCTCCCATCAGCCCAGCCAGCATGTCCGATGGTGGGGGATGATGGGAGTTGTAGTCCAGTAACACCTGGAAGACGAGAGGTTCCCCCGCTATTGCAATAAGAGGCGCTGCAGTAACATCTGGCAGCATGTGAGTACTGGGTGAACAGAGCTAATTATGAGACATGTGTAGATGGCATCAGAGACACATGTACTACTAGAGACCACTTCTGAACGCACTCTCTGATATTGTGCTGTGAAGAGCAGTCCCATGCCTCTAAGAAGAGCCCTGCTGCATCAGACCAATGATTAACTCAGCAGGTGGGGAGCCTGATCTGGCCACAGGGCCAAGTCATTATCTCTCCTAGCCCTCATTGGCTCAACATGGGTAGGGGTGGGTACGGGTGCTCCCCTGTCAATCACTTGACATCACATTGACACCAATTGATGACCACCAGGACCACAATCCCTGCTCTGAACTACCACCGCTCAGCAGGCTTGCACCTATCCACCTGTCAGTGGATCTGCAGTGACCTCAGGCCTGCTTTCTGGAGGGACTGGTTGCACAATCAATTTTCCCCATGGAGAAATTGCTTCACATCCAGTTCAGCCAATCAGCCAATTCTCCCTGCTCCACACTTGATGTCAGGTTTGTGGGAGATACACAGTCAAATCTAATAATGCATATTCTTGCTCGTTAGCATGTGAAGAGGTTAGAAACATAGAGCTGTATTGCGGATAGGCAGACTCAGTCCATAGAAATGTAATGTGTAGAAAAGGCTCTGTGTGATGTCATTTCCCCTACTCTCCTGGGAGGGAAAGAGCAAAAGAAGTATTTCCTGTTCCTTCTTCCTTTATCTCTCTTAAGCCAGGACATGCCTCCTATTGCTTCAGCACCAGGCATGTGCCTGAAGCTTTTTTCCTTTTTTCCCCCTTTTTGCTGTAAACACATGTATTTTACCTGTATTTATTTTCAGTGCTGTTGCTGCTAAGGAGGAATGTTTGACTATGAATAAGCCATATATTTTAGACTTACTTTTCAGTCTGTAGCCTGTTTCTTTGATAAATGGGGTAACAAAGGGGGAGATCAACTCAACAGCTAATTCCTATGCTTTCAATTAAAGTGCCTAAGATGGGATTTAAACTTGGCTCGGCCTCATGCTTTTAAACACAAGCAGTAAGCCTATCCTTTTGTCTGTTAACCCACACACGTGAGTCTGTAGGGAGATAAAATATAGTTAATTATATTCCCTCATCTAGCCTATCAAAGTATGGGACAGGTGGGTGTGGTTTGGTGGGAAACAGCCTCACAGGCGACAGTGGGACCCACACCAGGGCTCATGTGGCCCTCAGGCAAAGTTTCCCCACCCTTCTTGTTGTTGTTTAGTTGTTTAGTCGTGTCCGACTCTTCGTGACCCCATGGACCAGAGCACACCAGGCACTCCTGTCTTCCACTGCCACCCACAGTTTGGTCAAACTCATGCTGGTAGCTTCGAGAACACTGTCCAACCATCTCGTCCTCTGTCGTCCCCTTCTCCTTGTGCCCTCCATCTTTCCCAATATCAGGGTCTTTTCCAGGGAGTCTTCTCTTCTCAGGATCTGTCCTTCCAGTGAGCACTCAGGGCTGATTTCCTTAAGAATGGAGAGGTTTGATCTTCTTGCAGTCCATGGGACTCTCAAGAGTCTCCTCCAGCACCTGCATCATAAGATCATAGAGTTGGAAGGGACTGCATGGGCATATTTTGCCCAAGGTGGGGCTTGAACACACGACCCTTAGGTTAAGAGTCATATGCTGTGCCAACTGAGCCATTCCAACTGAGCTGTTTCGGAAAGCAGCAAGCCAGATGCCTATGGAAAGTCTAGAAGCAAGGCATGCTCTGGTGCCATCAGAGAAGGTTTTTTTTTGGGGGGGGGCATAGACATCCAGGCTCCCAGTCTACAAAATGACCAGGAGGTTCCCTCAAAAGCAATGCTGGATCATCACATTTTGAAATAAGTAAAGCATTAACACATTGCCATCTAATAAGGGTATCCCCACTTAAAAAACGAGAATCTAAAATGGTCAGAACTGTGTCTCTGAGGTCAGGAATGCAACAGCCTTGCTGCTGCCTCCCCAGTGATTGGGATTCAGAGACAGGGTGGCTGATCCTGGATGTATGTTGCATGCAAAGCCGTCATGACTAATAGTCACCGATAGCCTTGTCCTCCATGAATGTGCCTAATCCCCTATAAAAGATTTATTTGGAATGGCCTGAAATCAACCCCTTGGCTAGGCTCTCTTATTTGGCAGTGTGCTCTATACAAGCAAGAAATCCACCTCCTTCTGAATGATTATTATAAGCACTTCTGAATCGACCCTCACAAGCAGCCCTTTGACGGCAGAGGAAAAACAGGACGCATCTTGACTTCAGAATTTAGAGCCTGACAGTGCGATCTATGACGTCAAAAGTAATGAGAGAATTGCCCCACCTGCGCAGCGCGAGCTGGAAAACAAATTCTCTGGCCAAAGGCTAGCGATGTGGTTCCACTGTTTTCACCCTTCTGTTCCCGAGAAGGCAGAGCGATGGGATTTGTCTGCGAGGCTAAATCTGATTGGAGCACTTTAGAAAGCTAAAAATAAACCGCACCTGTTTCAAAGTCATTGGGAGATATTGCTGTTTCACTCAGATGCCTCCTTTGATCGCCACATTTTGGGAAGGAGCTGTTTTCCCACATAGCTCCACACTGTGCGTGCCTAGGTGCTAAATGTTTGACCTGCCGTCCCCACCCCAAACGCAGTGACATTGGCCTTGGCGTGTGTGCAAAGTTGATCCGTACACAGAGTCCAACAAAAAGTACAAGAAGACTTACTGGAGCTGCGTCGTGTTTACGACACCACAAGAAAGTGGGATTAAATTATTAAGAGTGACAGCTCAGGAGAATCATGCTTGCCTCTGTTTAATCTTCCACGTAGGATGAGATAACTAAGCCAAGGGCAGGGAATAGTACATGCCACAGAAGTTCTCAAGCTCTCCTCACAGATCACTGCTAGTCTGCAAGTTCCATTCAGATGGTCTGTTGAAAGATGGCAGAACAGTCAAGAGCTTCTGCACTTGGTCTGGCAAATGGAGATGGAGTCCATTTTGAGGGAGGCCAGATATATCAAGTCCCTGGCCCAGTACCCCAGATGTTCCTATTTCATAGAATCATAGAATCATAGAGTTGGAAGAGACCACAAGGGCCATCGAGTCCAACCCCCTGCCAAGCAGGAAACACCATCAGAGCACTCCTGACATATGGTTGTCAAGCCTCTGCTTAAAGACCTCCAAAGAAGGAGACTCCACCACACTCCTTGGCAGCAAATTCCACTGTCGAACAGCTCTTACTGTCAGGAAGTTCTTCCTAATGTTTAGGTGGAATCTTCTTTCTTGTAGTTTGGATCCATTGCTCCGTGTCCGCTTCTCTGGAGCAGCAGAAAACAACCTTTCTCCCTCCTCTATGTGACATCCTTTTATATATTTGAACATGGCTATCATATCACCCCTTAACCTCCTCTTCTCCAGGCTAAACATGCCCAGCTCCCTTAGCCGTTCCTCATAAGGCATCGTTTCCAGGCCTTTGACCATTTTGGTTGCCATCCTCTGGACACGTTCCAGTTTGTCAGTGTCCTTCTTGAACTGTGGTGCCCAGAACTGGACACAGTACTCCAGGTGAGGTCTGACCAGAGCAGAATACAGTGGCACTATTACTTCCCTTGATCTAGATGCTATACTCCTATTGATGCAGCCCAGATTTGCATTGGCTTTTTTAGCTGCCGCGTCACACTGTTGGCTCATGTCAAGTTTGTGGTCAACCAAGACTCCTAGATCCTTTTCACATGTACTGCTCCCAAGACAGGTGTTCCCCATCTTGTATTTGTGCCTCTCGGTTTTTTTGCCCAAGTGCAATACTTTACATTTCTCCCTGTTAAAATTCATCTTGTTTGTTTTGGCCCAGTTTCTAATCTGTCAAGGTCGTTTTGAAGTGTGATCCTGTCCTCTGGGGTGTTAGCCACCCCTTCCCAGTTTGGTGTCATCTGCAAATTTGATCAGGATGCCCTTGAGTCCATCATCCAAGTCGTTGATAAAGATGTTGAATAAGACCGGGCCCAAGACAGAACCCTGTGGCACCCCACTAGTCACTCTTCTCCAGGATGAAGAGGAACCATTGAAGAGCACCCTTTGGGTTCGGTCAGTCAGCCAGTTACAAATCCCTGAGTGGTAGCATAGTCAAGACCGCATTTTACCAGCTTCTTTACAAGAATATCATGGGGCACCTTGTCAAATGCCTTGCTGAAATCAAGGTAGGCTACATCCACTGCGTTCCCTTCATCAACCAGGCTTGTAATTCTGTCAAAAAAACGAGATCAGGTTAGTCTGACATGACTTGTTCTTCAGAAATCCATGCTGACTATTGGTGATCACAGCATTCCTTTCTAGGTGCTCACAGACTGTTTGCTTAATGATCTGCTCCAGAATCTTCCCTGGTATTGATCTCAGACTGACTGGGCGGTAATTATTTGGGTCCTCTCTTTTCCGCTTTTTGAAAATAGGGACAACATTTGCCCTCCTCCAGTCTGCCGGGACTTCGCCTGTTCTCCAGGAATTCTCAAAGATGACTGCCAGTGGTTCTGAGATCACATCTGCCAGTTCTTTTAATACTCTTGGATGCAGTTCATCTGGCCCTGGAGACTTGAATACATCTAAACTAGCCAAGTATTCTTGTACTATCTCCTTAGTTATTCTGGGCTGTATTTCCTCTGCGGAATCATTTGCTCCAAATTCTTCAGGTCGGGTATTGTTTTCTTTATCGGAGAAGACTGAGGCAAAGAAGGCATTGAGGAGTTCAGCCCTTTCTGTGTCCCCTGTTTGCATTTCACCATCTTCTCCTCTGAGTGACCCCACTGTTTCTTTGTTCTTCCTTTTGCTACGAACATACCCATAAAAGCCTTTTTGTTGCTTTTAACCTCTCTAGCAAGCCTGAGTTCATTCTGTGCTTTAGCTTTTCTGACTTTGTGTCTACACGTGCTGGCTATTTGTTTGAATTCCTCTTTGGTGGTTTCCCCCCTTTTCCATTTTTTGTACACATCCTTTTGTAATCTTAACTCAGGTAAAAGTTCTTTAGATAGCCACCCTGGCTTCTTTAGGCACCTTCCATGTTTCCGTCTCATTGGTATTGCCTGAAGTTGTGCTTTTACTATCTCCCTCTTAACAAACTCCCAGCCATCATGAACTCCCTTTCCTTTTAGTATTACTGTCCATGGGATTTCACCCAGCACTTCCCTAAGTTTTATGAAGTCGGCTTTCTTAAAGTCAAGAAATTGAGTCCTAGTATGCTTGGCTGCTCCTTTCCGCTGTATAGTAAACTTCAGAAGAGCATGATCACTCGCGCCTAATGATCCTTCCACTTCTACCCCACTAATCAGGTCATCAACATTGGTTAGGACCAGATCTAAAATGGCTGTTCCTCTTGTTGCTTCTCCCACTTTCTGGACAATGAAGTTGTCTGCAAGGCCAGTGAGGAATCTGTTTGACCTTATGCTCTTGGCTGAGTTTGACATCCAACAAATATCCAGGTAATTGAAGTCCCCTATTACTACTATCTCCCTTCCTTTTGCATGCTTGGCCATCTGTTCCAGGAAGGCATCATCTATGTCCTCCGTTTGGCTTGGGGATCTATAGTAAACTCCCACAATGAGGTCACTGTTATTCTTCTCTCCATTAATTTTGACCCAAATGCTCTCACTTTGGCTTTGAGGTTCTAAATCTTGGATCTCTTCACAGGTATACACATCCCTGACATATAACGCTACTCCTCCTCCTTTCTTGTCTGGTCTGTTTCTCTGAAATAGATTGTATCCCTCCATTATTACATTCCAATCGTGGGACTTATCCCACCAGGTTTCAGTGATGCCTATTATGTCATATTTAGTTTGCTGTACCAAGAGCTCAAGCTCATCTTGTTTATTTCCCATGCTTTGCGCATTAGTGTACAGACATTGAAGTCCATTAATCATTCCCCCGTGACTCTTATTTAAGGATTTTTTCCTCCCACCACTAGGTCTGCGTGCTGTGCAATCAGTGCTGGTGCAATCTACGGTTTCCCCCTTAAACAATTGCCAGTTAAATGGGCCTTCTCAGCAGCCTGGTCTAAGGTCTGTTGTTTTCACGAGATGGAGATGATGGAGATCCCAGCATGGAAAACTAATTACTTGCTCTGTCAAGACTCCGACCATTTTCAAGTGGAAAAGGAAACACTTGACAGCTGCTTGTAGATGGGGACCTGATTTTTTATTAGGGGTGGGACACCATAAAAATATCAGTGTTAGGAATGATCCACACAGAGTAGCCTATTTCCCATCCCATTTCTTGACCATGATTTGACACGAGTTTATTGACAAATGTACACAGTCTGTTAAAATACAAACCATTGCAACTGTGCGGTTGCATATTCTACAAAGTAGTCTCCTTTGGAGAAAGGGCAATATATAAATTTAATGTAATAAATAAACCAAGTAATGGCTGCATAATGCAATGCATGCAGAAAAGGGGGGCTGCCAAATGTTTCAAACCAGACTCCATTTTCCTTATGAAGTAAATGGTCCTATCTTGGAGGTTGGGTTAAGTTTAGCTTCGCATAACTGAAGAGTAGGAGACTGGTTGTCACAGAAGCTGCTGGAAGCACTGTAGAAGGGGCCCTGCCTTCCTAACACCTTTCCTTGCAGATTTCACTTCACTTTCAGGAAGCTAGCAGTTGGTTTTGGCTCCTTCAGAGAGCTAAGTACAATTTAACTGGGCATTCCT